GTCCCCTAATCATCTTTGTTGGTCTTCTCTGCACTCTTTCTAGAGTCTCAACCTCTTTTTTACATCCCGACGAGCAGAACTGGAGGCCGTATTCCAAGTGTGGCCTTACCAAGGCATTATAAAACGGTATTAACATTTTACGTGATCTTGATTCTATCCCTCTGTTTATGCAGCCTAGAACTGTGTTGGCATGTTTGGTAGTTGCAGCACACTGCTGGCTCATATTTAAGTTATTGTCCACTAAGGACTCCAAGATCCTTCTCACAGTTACTGGTACCTGAGCCAAAAGCACCCCTTAGCTTTCAAGCGCCACTAAACCGTTTGCAGGATTCGGTGGAAAATCTAACACGGCCATCCCCGTGTTAAGTTTTTGGGGAGAATCTCCCAAAAAGTTCCCGTCAGCGTGGACCCTTTGATGCAAAATCAAGTTGGTGCTCTGGCTGAAGCTTTTCCCACACTCAGAGCAGATATACGGCTTCTCCCCGGTGTGGGTTCTCTTATGTCTAATAAGGCTCGATTGATCCCGGAAGCTCTTCTCGCAGTCCGTGCATCCGTACGGCTTCTCGCCCGTGTGCATCCGCTGATGCGCATTGAGGCTGCCCTTGTGGCTGAAGCTCTTCCCGCACTCGTAGCATTTGTAGGGCCTCTCCCCCGTGTGAACCCTTTGGTGCTGAATGAGACTCTGTTTGTCGGAGAAAGTCTTGTTGCAATCGGCGCACTGGTGTGGCTTCTCCCCCTTGTGGATCTTCTGATGCCTCAGAAAGTTGGTGCTCTTGTTGAAACTTTTCCCGCACTCTGAGCACCGGTACGGCTTCTCCCCCGTGTGGATAATTTGATGGGAGGCGAGGTGGGCGCTCTGAACGAAGCTCCTCCCGCACTCTAAACAGGTGTACGGTTTTTCTCCGGTGTGGATGATCTGGTGGGAGTTCAGGTGGGCGCTGCGGCTGAAGGACTTCCCGCATTCCAAGCATTTATACAACTTCTCCACTTTGGGGATTCTCGGCGGTTTCAGCTGGTTGGATGGACCGTAAAAGCTTTTGCTTAAATCAGTGGGTTGACGTTGTCCATCAGCATGGACAGCCTGATACGAAGGAGGAATTAAAGGGCCCAGAAACTTCTCTCCTTTTTCCAGAAATGTATATGAACCCTCTCCTTCAGAAAGCGCTTCCTTGTCTCCGGTGTTCTTCCCGAAGATTCTTTTCTGAGGTTCAATCTCAGCAGACATTTCCCAGTGATCACTGGGACATCCATTCCTTTCCTCTCCTCCCTGGCGGGTTTGCTGGAGTGAGATTTGATGGACTTCTCCGACTGGACAAGGAAGGGATTTATCGATCCATTCTCCTTGTTGGTTTCTTTCTTGGTGTGCGGATTGAACTCGGCTCCAGACTTTCTCTTCAAAAGGTTCCTGCTCAGTTTCTTCCGAGAAATCTCCACAGAGTTTTCCCTCTGTTTCGCTTTTCCATTCGGATCCTGTTGGAATTAAGGTTGGGAGATTGGTTAGAGCAGGGGTCCCCAACCACCGGTCCGCGGACCGGTACCGGTCCGTGGAACAAATCCTACCGGGTCGCTGGTTTGCTGGGCGCCACCATCTTGTTTTGATGAAAAAGTGCTTCCGGTGAGCTTTTCCGGGTAGAAAGCTCACCGGAAGGACTTTTTCATCAAAACAAGATGGCGGCGCCCAGCTGATGGCGGTACCGGGCCGCGGCATAAAAAAGGTTGGGGGCCACTGGGTTAGAGCACAAAGCAAATTATTCAGAAGTAGCCTCTTCCAAAATATTTGGGGTTCCCAATGAGAAAAAAAGTTCTGAATAGAAAGTTCTGTGGCAGGACCAAGAGACAGAAGAAAAGAAGAGAAAGAACTGGACAAAAATCACAAAATACAAAACCTGTCACTGCTTCTGTGTTTCCCCAAAAATTATATATTTTTGCCACCCCAAAAAGCACCAGGTTTTATTTTTTTCGGGGGGGGGGGGGTCGTCCACTGACTCACCTCACTTGTGCATGTCGGCCCTGACCTCCTTTTCGCTGTCCGAAGCCTTCAGGAACTTCTTGTCTGACCTTGCTGGCCACAGAAGAAATGGGCCGGCAAGGCAGGTATCCGAGTGTGCAAGGCCCAGCGGTAACTATATTAAGGTTAAGTAGTAGGGCAGCTCCAACCTCCCATCCCCACCCTACCTTAATTTAACCCGTGTACCCTGGGGAGGGGGGCGGAGTCTTAATTAGGGCTTATTTTGGGAGTAGGGCTTATACAGATTGTCCACTTGACCATAAGGAAAACAAGAGAGGGCCTCCTTACCTAAGTGGTCAGCACTGGCGTCCTCGTTCTCCTGCTTGGTCTCCACATACAGCATCCTCCACCCAGCCTCAGATTCAACCTGGCTAATTCTGGAGATTGTTGCCACTTCCTCCGACAATACCTATAAAGGAAAGGATGGCATTGCTCTCTATCAGCCCCTCGGACACTCGACAAAAAAAGGTTTAAAATAGGCGGCAAACACAAACACAATTTTCAACCATCAGGGAAACACAAGGACCCTGCAAATTTTTAGGTGTGGCCTCTAAAGCTCTTTGAGGCCACCAAGTCAGACTATTGGGGTACATGTTTAGAGGCTCAAAGCGGAGTATACTAGAGAGATGCCAAAGGAGACCACAGGTCAGAGGCAGGGATTCAGCAGGTTCTGACCAGTTCTGGAGAACCGGAAGTGGAAATTTTGAGTAGTTCAGAGAACCGGCAAATACCACCTCTGACTGGCCCCGCCCCCATCTATTCTCTGCCTCTCGAATCCCAGCTGATCGGCTGGGTCTTCTTTGGTTGCCCTGCACAGGAGAACGGAGCTGGAAAGCAGGCTAGTGGGGTTGGGGAGGGAATGGGATTTTGCAGTAACCTTCCCCTTGAAATGTGGTGGTAATGGAGATTTACAGTATCCTTCCCTGCCACGCCCACCAAGCCTTGCGCACAGAACTGGTAGTAAAAAAAATCGAATCCCACTACTGCCGCAGGTAGTCCTCATTTAATGTCCACTCATTGAGCGACTGTTTAGAAATACAACAGTGCCGACAAAGAGGCATGGGCAATGGGATGGCCTCACCGTTGTGGCCATCACAATGTCCGCTTAGTTACGTGATTGTGATGGAAATTGGATCACAATTTTGACGTCGCAGCGTCCCGCAGTCAGGTGATCTCACTTACGACCTTCTTCGCGGGCGTCGGACAAAGTCAACAAGGAAGTGAGCCCTTCTCAAAAAAGCCAACCTGGTTCTAGGCTGCATTAACAGAGGGAGATCGAATCAAGATCACGTGAAGTGATAATGCCACTTTACAATAATGCCTGGGTAAGGCCACACTTGGAATAGTGTATCTGGTTTTGGTCGCCACGATGTAAAAAAGATGTTGAGGCTTTAGAAAAAGTGCAGAGAAGAGCAACCAAGATGATTAGGGCAGTGGTCCCCAACCTTTTTTGTACCAGGGACCAGTTTCACGATTATTCATTCTTTGCGGCCCGGTACAAAATGATCCACGGACCGTCCCCCGCTTCTCCCCGCCACCTTCAACTCCTCCTTTGTACCTTCTCGCGGTCGATGGGCTTTTCGGGCTCTTTCTTAATCTCCTCCTGAGTAACACGAGACTCCATCGCCATTGGGACGGCTCTTCGTTCGAAGCCGCCCCCCCCCCTTCGACGAAACTAAGGCGCGAGGATTCCTTCAGCACCCAAACGCCGCTTTCCATCCAACCGACGACTGACAAGCTCACCCGGAAGCACTTTCTCAAGCGCCGTCGAAACAAGATGGCGGCGCCCAAGCAAAGTAGGCTTTTTCTTTGCGGCCCAGTACAAAATGATCCACGGACCGGTACCGGTCCATGGCCCGGTGGTTGGGGACCCCTGGATTAGGGGACTGGAGGCTAAAGAACAGTTGCTGGAATTGGATATGTCTGGTTTAATGAAAAGAAGGACTAGAGGACGACATGATAGCAGCGTACCAAGAAGCAATAGATGGAAACTATTCAAGGAGAGAACCAACCTACAACTAAATAGAAATTTCCTGACAATGAGAACAATTAATCAGCGGAATGACTTGCCTCCACAAGTTGTGGATGCTCCAACACTGCAGGTGTTTAAGAAGAAATTGGACAGCTATTTATCTGAAATGTTATAGAGCTTCCTGTCTTGAGCAGGGGGTTGGACTAGAAGACCTCCAAGATCCCTACCAACTCTGGTATTCTGTTCCATTGTTCCCAAATTCTCAAAGCAAAGATATGCACTAAGTTAAATGGCTGTGCTTCACAAAAGGCTTAATTTTAGATGAGAAAATGGACAATTCTGGACATTTATTTGACTGAAGAAATATTTGGGGCAGGTTTTATCAAGTGGCTTGATTCTGCGGAACGTCCAGTGCCTTTCAGTAAAGTAATCCCATTACTGGATCAACTGATCTATCGCCTCGGTCTATCATTGTTTGATCTAGTAGCCTGAGCCATTGGCTGAATGGAAGAAAACAAAAGAAGAGAAAATTCTCCGCGAAGGTCGTTTCTCACCTTTTGGAAAGCGAGAATGTTTGATCTCCTAATCCAGATGCAAAGCAGCGGATGGGAAATTATTTGGTAGCCCAAAGTACCTTGATTACGTGCTCTACGTGGCTACTCTTTTTGGATTTGAATAGTCTGCTTTATTTTTTTATTATGATTTGCTTATTTTTCGAACTAGATGTGATAAACATTTTTAAAAAATGGTAATGTGGCAAAGTGAGTATTTAGCTATTTTTCATTAGCCTTGCAGAATTCCAAGTCAATGAATTACAAATAGAATGGGTCTCTAGCAGTTACCACCAGTGATATGTTTATTCCTATTTCTTGAAGGACTTGTTAAAAAATTACTTGTTAAAGAACTTGTTAAAAAACTAATTACGTTAAAAAACTCACCATTGGAGAAATACCTAGCACAGTGATGGCTAAAATTTTTGGGCTCCTGTGCCAAAAATGGTGTGCCGGTACGCAGAAGGTAATGCGTGCGGCCCCCCCGCCGCCCCCTGCACATGCGCAAGCAATTCCCCGCTGCCGCCCCCTTACCTGCATTGCACCTCTCAGCTGATTTTCAGCCCATTTGAGGTCTTTTTCGGCCTCCCAGAGGCTCGAGGGAAGCCTCTGCCGCCTTTGCAGGCCAAAAAAATGGGCCCGTTTCGTCACTTCCGGTATTTCCAGAAATACAGGAAGTGACAAAACGGGCCTGGTTTTCAGCCTACAAAGGCTCCAGAGGCTTCCCTCGAGCTTCTGGGAGGCCGAAAAAGGCCTCAAACAGGTCGAAAATCAGCTGGGAGGCGCGCACATGCACAGTGAAGTAAGTTTGCCTGGGGCTCGTGTGCCCACACAAATGGCTCTGCATGCCACTTGTGGCACGCGTGCCATAGGTTCTCCATCACAGACCTAGCAGAACCAGTTATTTTTTTTTAAAAAAAAAAACCATCTGAGGATAGAAATGACAAACCATTGTGTCCCAGTAATATTTTACAGAGGAAGCTATGCTGGTTGAGGGTAACTTGAATGTGCTATTCTGTTTTCTATGTCAGTCAGGAACCCAAAAGTAATCCAGTCCAAACAAAAAGGGAGTGGGGGGAAGTAGAAGGAGAGATCACTCTGCACATTTCCTGAAATTCCTGAAGGGAGAATAACAAATCTAATAAGTTTTCCCTTTCTTACTTGATTTGGAGGTTCAACCGCTGTTTGAGCTCCATCAGAAAAACCAGAAAACTTCACTCTTTGTATTTCTGTAAGGAATAAATGATTTAAAAATGCATAATTAACAAAATGAGGGGGCATTCTGTAGAAGAGAAGAGACAGCAAAGATAAAGACAGATGGGTCATTGGAGGATCTTCGGTTACCTCCTGAGGGGTCCCGACTTGGATCTTCCCAAGGGATCTTCCTGAAAAATAGTTCCCCGGGAAGATTTGATGGATTCTTCTTTCCCTCAAGATCTCTGATCTCCACAGGGCAGCCCTTCAAATAGGAGAAAGGGAAAAAGAAGCAGAATTAATGTTTTGTTGTTGTTAGTTGCGGAAGTCGTGTCCGACCCATCGCGACCCCATGGACAACGTTCCTCCAGGCCTTCCTGTCCTCTACGAACTTCTGGAGTCGCTTTAAGCTCACGGAGACTGCTTCAGTGACTCCATCCAGCCACCTCATTCTCTGCCGTCCCCTTCTTCTTTTACCCTCAATCGTTCCCAGCATGAGGCTCTTCTCCAGTGAGTCCTTCCTTCTCATTCGGTGGCCAAAGCAGTTGAGTTTCATCTTCAGGATCTGGCCTTCGAAAGAGCAGTCAGGGTTGATCTCCTCTAGGACTGACCGGTTTGATCACCTTTGGAGTCCAAGGGACGCGTAGGAGTCGTCTCCAGCACCAGAGTTCAAAGGCCTCCATTCTTCGGCGCTCAGCTTTCCTTATGGTCCAGCTTTCTCAGCCATACCTCGCAACTGGGAAAACCACAGCTTTGACTAGACGCACTTTTGTTGGCAGGGTGATGTCTCTGCTTTTTAATGTGCTGTCTAGATTTACCAGAATTAATGAACATCACATGATGCTCCAACACTGGAAATTTTTAAAAAGATGTTGGACAACCATTTGTCTGAAGTGGTGTAGGGTTTCCTGCCTAGGCAGGGGGTTGGACTAGAAGACCTCCAAGGTTCCTTCCAACTGTTTATTCTATTCTATTCTATTCTATTCTGTTCTAATTTCTTTTCTATTCTCTTTCTATTCTCTTTCTATTCTAATTTCTTTTCTATTTCTATTCTATTTCTATTCTAACTTCTTTTCTATTTCTATTCTATTCCTAATTCTATTCCTTATTCTATTCTATTCCTATTCTTATTCTATTCCTATTTTATTTTTATTCTATTTCTATTCTAATTTCTTTTCTTTCTATTCTATTCCTATTCCTTATTCTATTCCTTATTTTATTCTATTCTTATTCTATTCCTATTTTATTTTTATTCTATTCTATTTCTATTCTAATTTCTTTTTTCTGTTCTGTTCTGTTCTGTTTCTATTCTATTCTGTTCTGTTTCTATTCTATTCTATTCTATTCTATTCTATTCTATTCTATTCTATTCTATTCTATTCTATTCTATTCCTTATTCTTTTCCTATTCCCATTTTATTTTTATTCTATTCTATGTATTTTCTTTTCCTATTCTATTTATATTCTATTCTATTAATAAAGTGGAGTATTATATTCGGAACACAACCTCAAAGCCCCCAATATCCATCACTGAGGTTGAGTGAAAAAAACAATGGAACAATGTCCCACAAGAATTCGTGGGAGATCTCCACCTATGAAGGCCAGAGAAGTTTGGGAAGGAGAGGTGAAGGATGCCAACACATTTCTGAGCTCCCTAAAGTGCCTCCTCACCTGTGGCTGGACCTGCTCCTTCTGCTCCTCCGCCTGGCTCAGGAGGAAGCCTTCCACCAAAGCCACCGCCTGGGAGCTGGTCTCTGCTCCGCACTCCCGCACCCGGCTCTCCATCTCTGGGGGCAGAAGGACCAGGAGCTGCTCCAGAACCACCAGGTCCAGCATCTGAGCTTTGGTGTGCTTTTCTGGTCTCAGCCATCGCCTACAAAAGTCATGGAGTCGGTTGCAAAGTCCTCGGGGACCCTCGGACTCCTGGTAACGGAGGCTCCTGAAGTTCCAGGGTTGAATTTTTGAGCGCCTGGTGGTGGTTTCCTCCATCATGCATGCGGTCTGGGATTGAACCCGGAGGAGGGGTGGGCACGTATCTCTCTCCCTCCTCGGCCTCTCTTTGCATGGGAAGAGCCCTCACAACCCGCCCTCACTTCCGGATCTCTCCCCGGCAAGCCTCTCCTGCAGCCTTTTCACCCCCCCCCCCCGGCGGAGCTCCAAGGGTTAAGGAGAGCGAGTGCTAGAAAGTGGCAAGGCCCTCCCTTCCCAGCCTCCTCTGGAAAACCAGCCAAAACCTTCGCCCTCCAGTGGCCAAAAGGGGGAAGTGCCTGATGTCCCTTTCTCATATCTGAATCCGAGGGCTGAATCTGAGTTATTTGAATCAGAATAGAGCTGGAAGCTCTAAAAACCACTCTAAATGGCAGAAAGTGAAGAGGAACTGAAGAGCCTCTTGATGCAGGTGAAGAAGGAGAGTGCAAAAGTTGGCTTGAAACTCAACGTGAAGAAAACTAAGATCATGGCATCCGGCCCACTCAATTCCTGGCAAATAGATGGGGAAGACATGGAGGGAGTGACAGATTTTATTTTCCTGGGCTCCAAGGTCACCGCAGATGGGGACTTCAGCCAAGAAATTAAGATGCTTGCTCCTGGGGAGGAAAGCTATGGCAAATCTAGACAGCATACTAAAAAGCAGAGATATCACCCCGCCAACAAAAGTGCATATCGTCAAGGATATGTTTTTTTTCCAGTTACAAGGTATGGCTGAGAAAGCTGGACCATAAAGGAAGGCTGAGCGCCAAAGAAAGGAGGCCTTTGAACTCTGGTGCTGGAGACGACTCCTACGCGTCCCTTGGACTGCAAAGGCGATCAAACCGGTCAGTCCTGGAGGAGGCCAACCCTGACTGCTCTTTCGAAGGGCAGATCCTGAAGATGAAACTCAAAAGACTTTGGCCACCTCATGAGAAGGAAGGACTCACTGGAGAAGAGCCTCATGCTGGGGAACGATTGAGGGCCAAAGAAGAAGGGGACGGCAGAGAATGAGGTGGCTGGATGGAGTCAGTGAAGCAGTCGGCGTGAGCTTAAATGGACTCCAGAAGATGGTAGAGGACAGGAAAGCCTAGAGGAACTTTGTCCATGGGGTCGCGATGGGTTGGGCACAACTTTGCAACGAACAACAAGAAGAAGGGCAGAGAGGGACCATTTTCAATGGGGGGAAAGGAGGAAGAAGGCTGTCTTATCTCGTTTTCTTGTTTCTTAATGTTGAAGCTCCTCTAAATTGACTTCATAGACTCCTCTGAGGGGTCTCCTTCCCATTCCAGAATTCTGGAACAGGATAGAGCTGGAAGGAAGATCTTCTAATCCAACCTATGGCTCAAGCACGAGAACCTCCTGTACCATTCCAGACAAGGGACTGTCCAGTCTTTTCTTCAAAACCTCCAGTGATGAAGCACCCACAACTTCTGGTGGCAAGCTGTTCCACAGGTTAATTGTCCTCACTGTGAGGACAGTGCCTCCTTAATTCCAGGTTGCTTCTCTCTTTAATTATTTTCCATCCCTTGTTTCTCTTCTTCAGTGCTTTGGAGAATAAGTTGACCCCCCTCTTTTTTGTGATAGCCTCTCAAATACTGGAACACTGTTATCATGTCACCCCTAATTCTTCTTTTCTCTAGAATAGCCCAAACCCAAGTCCTGTAACTGTTCCTTAAGTGTTTTACTCTCCGGGCCTTTTTAAATCATCCTAATTGCTCTTCTCTGCACTTTTTCCAAGGTCTCTTTTGCAATGTTAGGACCAAAACCAGATGCAATATTTCAGGTGTGGCTTTACTTATAAAGTGGAACTAATACTTCATGTGATTTTGATTCTACACTTCTGTTTATACAACCAAGGGTTGTATTCTGGACCGTTCTCCATGGCTGTTCTTCTGGGGCAGAGGTCTCCAAACTTGGCAACTTTTAAGACTTGTGGACTTCAACATCCAGAATTCCTCAGCCAGTTCTGGGAGTTGAAGTCCACAAGTCTTCAAAGTTGCCAAGTTTGGGGGACCCCTGTTCTGGGAGACAGTGATAGGCCTTTCCCATGATGATTTTCCCAAGGTCGCTGCCTGCTTCGTTCCAGCCACAGTAGAACAAATATCATAAATGTTCCATGGATGGATTTCTGCTTCCTTCTGGCTTGAAAAAAATGCCTAGCTGCGGGACAGGGTGGAAGCCAGAGCAAAAGAGATATTTTGAATGCTCAATGGCCTTGAAGGTGGGGTTTCAGCTGACAGTTGCTGAACCTGAAGTGAAAGCCAGCTAGGGCCTACAGATGGGGGGGAGGGATTGGGTGCAGGTGGCCCAACTTCTATTTCAAGGCATTTTCTTAAAAATATCTCCTTATAAAAAGTCTTGCTTGATATGCTGGTGTCTCTGCTCTAAAGGAAGCCAACATACGTTGAAGACTGGGTTAGGGGACTGGAGGTTAAAAGATACAAAGAACGGTAGCTGGAATTGGGTATGTCTACTTGAGGAGTCTCCAAACTTGGCAACTTTAAGACTTGTGGACTTCAACTCCCAGAATTGCCCAGACAGCATGACTAGCTGAGGAATTCTGGGAGTTGAAGCCCACAAATCTTAAAGTTGCCAAGTTTGGAGACCCTAGGTCTAGTTAAGGCTAGGGGTGACATGATAGCAGTCTTCCAGTTATCTCAGGGGCTGCCACAAAGAAGAGGGAGTCAAAGCTATTCTCCAAAGCCCCCTGAGGGCAGGACAAGAAGCCATGGGTGGAAACTAATCAAGGAGAGAAGCAACTTAGAACTAAGGAGGAAATTTCCTGACAGTTGGAACAATTAATCAGTGGAACAACTTGCCTCCAGAAGTTGTCAATGCTTCAACACAGGGAGTTTTTAAAAAGATGTCTGAAATGGTATAGGATTTCCTGCCTAAGCAGGAGGTTGGACTAGCAGACCTCCAAGGTCACTTCCAACTCTGTTTTCCAATTCTAATCCTAATTGACAAATGTATCTTTTCTTTTATGTACCAAGCATTTGCACCAAGACAAATTCCTTCTCTGTCCAATCACACTTGGCCAATAAAGAATTCCATTCCACTCCACTCCTATTCCATTCCATTCCATCTATTCTATTGCATTGCATTCCTATTCCTATTCTATTTCTATTCTTATTCTATTTGATTCTCTCTTTACTCTCCTCTCTTTCCGATTCCTATTCCATTGGTTGCAAATGGCGATCACGCGATCACGCGACCATGGGACCCCCTACGACCTTGTGGCATCCACCTAATGATGGCCACCGGACAGTCACGATTGCTATGTGATGTCTCACTGCATGATCCTGTCACAGCCCAAGAGGTCCTCGGTGCTCTCTTGAGCTTGGTAGCTTTCTTGCCGATCTTTCCTTACCCCAACGAGGGGACATCGTCACTGCTAGATAACGCCATTAGCCCCGATGACATCATCTAGTTGGGTGATGAAAGGTCTGCAAGAAACACCACCCAGGGACAGGGAGCACCAAGGACTCTGCAGGTCAACCGGGAGCTACAAATATTCTCCCTTTTTGATCCTAATTATCGTTGGTATACACGTCCTAGCTGCAATTGCATGGGTGATAAATAGATCAAGGTGGGGGGGGGTAATGAAAAATGAGTTGGGCAAGGACGCTGTCCTGGTGCAACCATGCCATCAATACTCCTCACACTTCATAAGAAAGGACCAGTGAAATACCCCTGGGTGGTGTTCCCACATGCTGAGCTCTTCCTTCTTCCCAAGGAAGTCTTCGACCAACACCACTGCCTGGGAGCAGTTGTCTGGGCCACACGCCCGGACCCAGCGCTGCATCTCCGGCGGCAGGATGGCCAGGAACTGCTCTAGGATCAGCAGCTCCACGATCTGCTCTTTGGTGGACATGTCCGCCTTCAGCCACCGCCGGCAATGTTCCTGGAGTCGGCTGTAAGCCCCTCGGGGCCCTTCAGCTTCCTGGTAACGGAAGCGCCGGAAATGTTGACGCTGTTCCTCCCGCCGCTGGGCTTCCCTTTGCAAAATGGCTGCCTTCACTTTCCCATAATCCCCCTTGCTGCACCCGCCCAGGTTCAGAAAGGCCTGCTCGGCCTCTCCGCTCAAGGCTGGCTGGAGCCGGGGTACCCATTCCTCCTTGGGCCACCGACAGGCCTGGGCCACCTGCTCAAAGGAGTCCAGGAAGGCCGAACTGTTTTCCCACAGATCCACGGGTGGCTTAGAGCTCCCCGGACACGGAGTCTCCACCGTCTTCAGGAACTCCCGCCATTGAGTTTCCCACTGCTGAAGGGATCCCTCATCCGGTTCCTGCTTGATCTCTCTGCCCATCCCTTGGGGCAGGGGTTCCCCTCCGCGAGGGTCTTTCTTTGGTGAGGGATCCCTCAGATCCCGCTCTTCCATTGTACTTTTCAGACGGTCTCCAGGCAAAAAGATCCACCCAGCCCGACGATCCAGAACCTGCCCCCGGGATCCAAACTGTTGCAACTATGCCGGCGTTCAAGGGCAATTCCTCAGGTTTCGTGGATCCTTGTCGGTCAAGGAAGAAAAGCTAAAGACACAAAAGGAATTTGCAAATCAGCCAGAGGGAACACTGGGTGGCTTCAGGCTGCTGGGGTTTTTTAATCTCGCCTGATTGAATAACATAAAAAGCTAGAAATATTGCAAATATTAATGTTTAATAATAGAGCACCACACCGGGGGTGGTTGATTAACTTAAGAGGCAATCCGCATTCCTGCTCCTTTCTTCATCCATCTTTTAACTGTAATTTTATCTTTGATTGGGATTCCCCTTTGGAAATATTTTATCTTTTATTATTTTAATACCGTAAGCCTGCCGAAGTTGTTTCAAAATGAGACGGGTGGCAAATAAATCTAATAAATAGATAAAGTGACAAACCAAGCCACCTCTTAACACCGATGATGTTACCTCGTCAGGTAATGAAACGTCTGTAAGGAAGGAAACCAAGCTGAGAGAGCATCAAGAGCCCCTCATTTCAACCCTGACCTCCAAATATTCTTCTTTATTCCCTCTCTTGAGAAGAAAGATCACATTCTTCCAATAATACAACTGAGGGAGGATACTCTCTTTCTGCCCTACCTCACAAAATTATTGTTGGGTGATAAAATGGGGTTTTCTATTTATGCCACCTTGAGCTCCTGAAGCAAAGGGCTATAGATGCACAGGAATTATTATTTTTTAGTCTTTTAATGACCCCTTAAATCCAGGGGTCTTCAAATTTGACAGCTTTCAGGCTCCTCCAGCCATGTTAGCTCAGGAATTCTGGGAGTTGAAGTCCACAAGTCTTAAACTTGCCAAGTTTGAAGACCCTTCGTCTAGTCTAATGAAGAGCAGGACTAACATGATAGCAGTTTTCTGACATCTGAGGGATTGTCACAGAGAAGAGGGGATCAACCTTGTAGACAAACAGGGGTCTTTAAACTTGACAGCTTTGTGGACTTCAACTTCCAGAATTCCTCCTCCAGTCATGTTAGCTCAGGGATTCTGGGAGTTGAAGTCCACAAGTCTTAAAGCTGTCAAGTTTGAAGATCCCTTGCCTTAGGGCAACTGAATGGAGCTAAGCGTTCACTAGATGCACAGGAATCAATAACACTAAGAACAATGATGATAAATAACGTGTATATTTAATGTATAGCATTACTGCAGGGTGTTATATTCACGTGTGTCATATATACTCTGTATTATAATGTACAAACAATACACATGTGATAATCATGTAATAGCATGAAAAATCAAGTTTACCTGCCTCCTTTTTCCAATTTTTTTCCCCCCACTTTGCGCTACAAAGGCATCTGAGCGTCCTGTAAAACCTTGGTTTCTGCTTCCACACGTTGCATCAGCTTTTTTCTTCCTTCCGGCTGTTTGCAGTTGTGATTTAAAAATAATTTAAAAATTTTTTTTTGGAGAAACCCTGCTGGGAGCCAGATGTGTTTCCCGACCTCCCAAACTCCATGCTTCCCCCGCCCCCCACACACAAAAAAGCCCATTTCCGGGGGGAGGAGCCAGTCTAGGAAGCCGACTGCAACGTTTACATCCTTTGCAATCGGTTTTTTTTTTTTAAGGCAAAAAAGGAGACAGGTCCCGTCTAGCCCACTGCCGGTTAGATCTTTCTGGTCGTCTCTTTTTTTGGGGGGGGGAAGGTTTTTTTTGGGGGGGGGGTTCGGAGAGGCCTTTTGTCCTCCTTTGCTCCTAAGGAAAAAAAAAAAAAGATGTATTTCTGCTTGTCCAGAGAGACCCCGGCTCGCTTTGCAGCGCTCTTATGATAGAATCGACAGAGCTGCAGCATCCTAGAGGGGGCTCCCGCCGGAGACCATAGAGTTGAGGGTGAGGAGCGTGTGTGTGTGTTGTGTGTGTTGGGGGGGGCTTCCCAAGTGGTGGACTTCCGGCCTGGGTTCTTTAACGGGGAATTTCCCCCCCCCCCTACACCCCGCGCGGTGGGTTGGAAGCTCCTCCGGGCTCCCTCGTGCTCCGAAGCGGGGAAGCGGCGGTGCGAAAAAGGGTGAGTGGCGGAGAAAGGAGGGCGCAGGCTCAAGGTCTGGCCGAGAGAAAAGAGGCGCGTGCAGCAAACAGCCGCGGGCTGCAGATTTAAAAAAAAAAAAAAAAGAGGGGTGGGGTGGGGTTTCTCACCTCCCCCCCACCTACCATCTCTCCTTCGGGGGGTGGGGGTGGATTTTTTTTGCAGAGCAATCAAGCGGCTGGATCCCAAAAGATCCCCCAGGATTTGCTCCCTTAGCTGGGAAAGGGCCCGCAGGAGACCCCCCCCTTTTTTTTTTCCCGAGGGACCCTCGGTGCCTGCTCTCCCGGTTGATGTAGTAGTTAAGGTGTGCAGGAAAAATCTGTTTATTATTAAGTATGAACTTTTGACTTGCCTAGAGAGAGACTTGCCAGGAGAGGTTAGAAACAAAGCAGAAGCAGCGGGCGGGAGGTGTCGGGGAGGGCGGAATCCGTCCGGATTCAATTAGATCCGCCTTCCTCAATAAATCTCTTAAACGTTGGAAGAAGAGGGGAGTCGAGCTGTTCTCCCAAAGGCAGGACAAGAAACCAATCAAGGAGAAAACCAACCTAGCAATTAAAAAAAAAACAAATTTCCTGACAGTTTTAGAACAATGAATGGGTGGAAACAACTTTGCCTCCGGAAATGGTTGAACTGTTGCTCCAACACTGTTTTGGATCTTTTAAGTTGTTAAGAAGAGATTGGACAACCATTTGTCTGAAACGGTGTAGGGCTGTGTTGGCGAAACCTATGCCACGCGTGGCGAAAGTGGCACGTAGGGACATTTCCCCTCTCCCCCCTCATGCCCTCCCCCACCAGGCAGGCGAGAGGTTGCCTGGAAGAGCCCCACTGCCATGGGTGGGATTCAAATTTTTTAACAGCCGGTTCTGTGGGCGCGGCTTAGTTGATAGGCATGGCTTGGTGGTCATGTAACTGGCTGGGCGTGGCCAACTCAACATCACTCACATCGAGGCACGCATCTCCTCGCCTGGCCTCTCACGACTGTGGGGATGCTGCAACAGTCGTAAGTGTGAAAAATGGTCATAAGTCACTTTTTTCAGTGCCATTGTAACTTTGAATGGTCACTCCACACAAGCAAAGTACCAAGCAAAGGAGGAAAAAAAAACCTCCAGAGATAGGAAGTCTAGTCCTGCCCAAGAATGTAAAAAGGGTTAACGGAGAGGCAGTTTCTGTAAGCAACACCAGAATGTTTCCTTCCTGCCTTCCTTACAGGATTAGGTCAGTAATTTCTTCTAACAACCGGTTCTCCAAACTGCTTAGAATGTTAACAGCCGGTTCTAGCGAATAGGTGCAAACTGGTAGAATCCCACCCCTGCCCACTGTGTGTGCGTGGCAGTGCCCGACAGCTGAATCAGTGGAAACAGGGTATCCGGCGTGCATGTGCAGGGGCGGAGGGGGATGCGCGGAAGAAATCGCAAGGAGGGAGTCGTGCGTGTATGTGCAAAGATGCGTGGCACGTGGGGAAAATCGTGCGCGCATACTCAGATGTGTAGCGTGCGAGGAGGGAGTCGTGCGCATGCATGAAGACCTGTGGTGTGCAGGGGAGTCATGTACGCAGGCACAAAGATGCACGGCGCGCATGGGGGAATTGTGCATGCATGTGCAGATGCGCGGCGCACGAGGAGGGAGTCGCACGTGCATGTGGAAAGATGCGCGCCGCACCACAGGCGGCACGCAGACCCATTTGTGCGGGCACACGAGCCCCAGCCAAAGTTACCTGCACTGCGCATGCGCGTGCCTTCCAGCTGGTTTTCAGCCCGTTTGAGGCCTTTTTCGGCTTCCCAGAGGCTCGAGGGAAGCCTCTGCAGCCTTTGGAGGCCGGAAAAACAGGCCTGTTTTGTTACTTGTGATACTTCCGGTTTTGTCACTTCCGGTATTTGGAGGCCAAAAAAACCGGGCCCGTTTTTTGGCCTCCAAAGGCTGCAGAGGCTTCCCTCGAGCTTCTGGGAGGCCGAAAAACGGCCTCAAACGGCCGAAAATCAGCTAGGAGGTGCATGCATGCGCAGTGCAAGTAATGAGGGGGGGGGTTTCATGTGCATGCGCAGGGGGCAGGGCACATTGCAGTGTGGGTGCCAGCACATGCACTTTCGGCACACCACAACAACAAAGTTCTCCATCACAGCTCTGTATCAAGACTGTTTTCAAGCATGGGAGCTGTGCTGGTTTTTAGTTCAACTGTAGCGTTCAGCCATGCGAATCAGCTGACAGAATATAGGAGAGGTGAGAGCAGAGGGTGTGTGGGTGGGCAGGCCTGCCAGAGGTGTTATTTGCCAGTTCTCCGAATCAGTCAAAATTTTCACTACCGGTATACCTGAAATGGTCCGAACCAGCTGAATACCACTTCTGACCCAGTCCCCCTTTTTGATAGCCTACCTTCCAGTTATTATCTCATTCTGATTATAAATAGGCAGTTTATTATTTTATGGGGGAGGAGTGCTTGCTTACGTCTTTCGTACCTTCTCCGCTCTCTTGTTTCTTTTCGTTTCTTTTCTTTAGTCAAACCAGCCAATATTTTTTAACATTCCACTTGTCTTGTGTGTCTTCTCAAAGCTGCGAGGTTAAGCCTATAAACGGAGCCAAGGTGTAAGCAGGAGTTGAGAATAAAGGTAAGAGGAGAAGAAAAAAAACTTTCCCAAAAGTTTAGCAAGGTCAAATCTATGTTTTTGTTTCTAGAATATTAACATTCACATTCTGGTGGCAACTTATGAGTCAAGTTGTAGATACTATAAAACAGGCTGTTTTTGTTTTTTTTAATTTTAGTTTTAGGCGCTAATTTTGGACTATTGGAAGTATTGGAAAGCCAGCTGGGTGACTTTTGGTTAGTAACTCTCTCAGCCTTATGCCACCTCACAGGATAGTTGTTTGTGGAGAAAATATAAGGAGGAAGTTGTGTTGGATACGTTTGCCACCTTGAGTTATTCGTAAAAAATAATAAAAGGCGGGATATAAGTAAATAAACCTTTGAAAGGTTTCCCCCGCCCATCCTTAAAACCCTGCAGAAAGGAACCTATATGCTTCCGGACTCCCTTGCAGGCAGTTCTCGACATGTCAGAGTGTACACAGTGTGACTAGGTGAGACAACCCAAGAGCAAATACAGCACACAGGTTTGTATTTACATATAGTGGCTTTATCCCTACAAAAGCATGTACACATGCAAGTACTTTAATACAGGCCTTGAACAAACAGCAATCGATAATCAGCTACACTATGTAAGCACACATGGAGAGAGATACACCCTCACAGGGTGTCTCTCATATTACAGCCTCTTAAAGTGGTAGCAGTCAAATAACCCTGCTGACTCATTGCTACCATTGCATCATCATTACAGTATTACAACATTACAGCAGCTGGTCAGCTATTAAGTCTTCATTACCCTGACAACTTATGACTTTAACAGAGCCCAAGATTAAAGTCAAAAGTTGTTGCAGTCATAAATTGCAAATTGTGGACAAGAGACCACCAGACGTGGCAAGCAGTTGCAAAGGTGAGCCAGTTGCCAAGTGCCAAAACTGCGATCACACAAGTATGGGTGTTTGTGTGTGGCCCTTGTAACCCCAAAACCAAGTCATAAGTAGCCCTGTGAAGGTCTGTCGTAACTCTTGTCAAGAATATATTCATGAACTGGAATTGAGCTTGGTAACAAGGTCAGCCAATGAATAAGTATAGCAACTAAGTCCGCTAATGAGGTCTCTTTGGAAACTGAAACTAGAACGAGCCTAGGCGTGGCTCTGTATTAAGCTCTGCAGCTCTGAAGCTATATTAAGCTCTGAGTTTGTCTATTGAAATGAAACTGCTTCTCTCGTCTGCTGTGTGTCTTGCTTGCCTGCTGAACTAAAATGAAACTGAAGTCTGTTTCTGAGCTCCTGAGTTGCTGTTCTGCTCTGAACCTGTAATATGCCTGCTTCTGTTTGAGTTTGCTCCATGTTGGAGAAATCTACAACTGGTATTGTAAAATTTACAATTTATAAAGAAGTTAAATGAAGCCTCAGCCATCTGTGTTTACTTTTCTGGCACTGAATTTACTCTGCAATATTCTGAACAACTCTTGAATAGTTATCGTGACCAGCTGTAAGTTCAGGACTATGTTAAATGTATTTTTGCTGATTTACAGTAAAATGTGAGGAAAAAAAATGATAATAAGTACCACAATCAATATTTCTAGTGTCCGTTATTTCAGGAAGAAAATTGTAGCATTGAAATTGGATCACTATACTACTGAAATCCGGTACTGGAGGCCCCGTGGGGGTGGTATAAGGCTTATGGGTTACCTAGTCCCTTATTGTTTCAGGTTACAAGGCTTGCTGGCTGGAATGGATGGAAGTTAAATCACTTTCTGTGCATCAAATTGCTGTATGGTTGTATAGGTAGTCCTTAACGTACAACCACAATTCAGCCCAAGGTATCTGTTGCTAAGCAAGACATTTGTTAAGTGAGTTTTGCCCCATTTTATGACCTTTCTTGCTAGAGCTGTTAAGTGAATCGTGGCAGTTGTTAAATTAGTCACCCGGTTGTTCAGTGAACCTGTCTTCTCCATTAATTTTGCTGGACAGGAGGTCACAAAAGGAGTCCAGGACACTGCAACTGTCATAAATATGAACCAGTTGCTAAGCATCTGAATTTTGATCAAGTAACCATGGGGAGTCTGCAATGGTCGTAAGTGTGAAAAATATTTTTTTCAGTGCCGTCATAACTGATTGTGTTTTCCTGCATCGGATGAGAGTACATCTCTGTCCTTCTGCCCTGGCCACTTTACAGAGGCACGGTTGAGAGCATTTTAACAAACTGCATCACTTTGGTTTGGTGGTAGCCGTGCCTCCGACAGAAAGTCCCTACAGAGAGTGGTAAAGGACAGCCGAGAAGATTATAGGAAGCTCACTTCCTGCTTATAAGCACTACATGAGCTTAGAGCTCACACCCACTTCACCGTCTGTTTCTGTTGCTCTCCCCAAGAGGAGGTTTTTGAAGTATTTCTAGTAAGACTACCAGATTCTGGAACAGTTTTGTTCCCTGGACCCTCCGTCTGGTAAACTCGCAAGATTTGTTTTTCTCGCCATGTACATGTATACCTCCAAACTACCCCCAAAATAAGACCCAGTCTTTTTTTTTTCTTTTTATTTCCAAAAGAGGCTTTCGGTCTTAGTGTCAGGGGTTGTCTCCCATTGTTTCACCTCATGGCGGCAGCACCAACAACCCCGCCCAGCAGGAGGTCTGTGTGGCCTCTGCCGATCCACTTTTTCTGTGACTGCTGCCGCTTAGGCGCAGCGTCCCCGGCCTCTGTTTCATTGCCAGAGGCCTTCAGGAAAGGCCTCTGCAGCTGAGAAACGAGCTCCGGATTAATGCGCGTGGCATCCCCCAGCCTCCGATTCGCCATCAGAAGCCATCAGGCGAGGCCTCTGAGGAAACTGAGGCCGGGGGCACCATGCGCATCAATCCAGAGCTTGTTTCTCAGCTGCAGGGGCCTTTCTTGAAGGCCTCTAGTGGTGAAATGGAGGCCGGGAGAAATGCGGCAAGCGGCCGCAGAAGTGGGCCGGCAAGGTCAGGCAGGTGTCAGGTTATGGGAGGCCTGGCTGCAACTGTTCTAAGGTAGGTGGGTGCAGGGCACATGGGATAGTTCCCCCCCCCCCAACCTCCACACTAGCTTAATTTTCATCTGTATGCCTCACCCCACCCTGTGGAATGAGATGCAGCGGAGTGGGCAGGGTATTAACCAAGGTTTATTTTGGACATAGGGCTTATATTGAGCGCACATGTAAAAAATCAAGCTAAGGCTTATTTTTGGGATAGGTCTTATTTATGGGGAAACACTGTAGGTCCCAAATGGTGATCATATATCCTTGGGATGCTGCAACCTTTGTAAATGTGAGCCAAGTACCCAAATAACAATAGCGCTTAGACTTATATACCGCTTCCCGGTGCTTTACAGCCCTGTGTAAGCCATTTACAGAGTCAGTGTATTGCCCCCAACGGTCTGGGCCCTCATTTTACCCACCTCAGAAGGATGGAAGGCTGAGTCAACCTTGAGTCCTGATGATATTTGAACTGCCAAACTGCTGGCAGCCGGCAGTCAGCGGAAGTAGCCGGCAGTACTGCATTCTAACCACTGCACCATCACGGCTCTTGACCAATGTCTCGCTTAGCAACTTAAACGGCGGGCTCGATTGTGGTCCTAAGCTGAGGACCACCTGTCCTTTAAGGGGTGGAATTGACAAGCTTGTGTTTGCGTTCATAGGCACCATGATGCTGGGACAAGAACAGGACCCCGGAGGAGAGAGCCAGCCCCCCCTAACACCCGTGCTCTTCTCCAGAAGCACAAGTACTCAGCAGGAAGTGAAGGTGGAAAATCAAGAGGATTTGGGTGAAATCTGGGAGACTCAGTGGCAGGAGTTCCTGACCACAGTGGAAGTCCCCCAGACCCTTCCGGAGCCTTCCCCGTGGGAGGATGCTCACATCTTCCTAGCCTCCTTTGAGCAAGTCGCCAGAGCTTTCCAGTGGCCCAAGGAAGAATGGGCGGCCCGTCTCCGGCCCACCTTGGGAGGGGATGCCGAGCAAGCCTACAGCAGCCTGGAGGCGGGGGAGAGAGAGGATTATGGGAAAATGAAGGCGGCCATCTTGCATGCCGATGCGATGAGCCGGGAGAAGCAACGGCAGCACTTCCGGTGTTTCTGCTACCAAGAGGCCGAAGGGCCGAGGCAGGTGTACGATCAGTTGCAGAGCCTTTGCCATCAGTGGCTGAAAGTGGAGAGGCATTCAAAGGAACAGATTCTGGAAATGCTGATTCTGGAGCAGTTCCTGGCCATCCTCCCGCCGGAGATGCAGAGCTGGGTCAAGAGACATAACGCGGAGAGCAGCGCTCAAGTCATATCTCTGGCCGAGGATTTCTTGCTCAGGCAGAGGGTGCCGGGGATAACGGAACAAGAGGTATGTGTGTGGAACTCTTTTTCTTTTCTTTGTTTTACTTTGGAGTAACACCGCTCCCACTGCTGCCACGTCACTGGCATCCGCTTTGAACGACAAAAGTTTTCGGGGTCAAGGATGCTTCAGCACTGGTGTGTCTTTTGCAAACAGTTCTTTCAGTGTTTCAAATGCCTTTTGACAGGCTAGGTCCCACCGTAGGGGTTTGTCCCAGGTGCGGTTTCATTCCTGGACTCCCATTCTTTAGGAAGTCCATCATGGGTTTGGCAATCCTTGCGAACGAGGGGACGAATTGTCGACAAGACATTTGCAAACCCCAGGGAGCTTTGTAGCTGTCTGCGGGCGCAAGGGAGCTTGCCAGCCCAGAACGGCTTCTACTTTTCTTGACTGTAATCGGACAGGAAACGACAAGGCGGAGCCCCAAACAAAACACAGAAAGCCCTGAACTCAGAACGAAACAGCCCCATTTGGGAGCCTCGGTTTGGAACCTACTGACAAAAATCTAGCGAAATCATCGGGATTCAGAACCGTCTCTTTCTCCCTCATACCGTGTTTCTCCAAAAAGATGACCCGTTTTGAAAAGGAGACCTGTCATGTTTTTGAGCTCACGTGATCAGATTAAGCTCCACCCACAAAATTAGCTCTAATTAAGACCCCCCCACTCCAGGGTGCAGGGGGTAGGGTGAGGCACACGGGTAAAAAATAAGGTTGGGGATGGGGTGGTGGTGGAGTTGCCTTACTTGCCAGGACTCGCACACCCTGACACCTGCCTCGCCGCCTTCCGTGGCCACTTGCTGCCACTCGCACGCATTGCCCTCAGCCTCCGTTTCGCCTTCAGATGCCTTCTGGCAGGCATCGAAAGGCAAGACGGAGGCTGGGGTAGTGCGTGCGAGTGGCCGCAAGTGGCTGCAGAAGTAGTGGGCCAGCAGCAGACTCCTGCTGGGCAGGGCTGTCAGTGCCGCCGCCACGAGGTAAGTTAATAATTAGAACCCTTCAGAAAGAAGGCCTTGTTCTGTCCCAAAGCTTGTTCCAAGGAAACAAACACGAAACAGAGGTAAGAGCAAAACCTTTTAATGATTCTTTACAAATTCCGTTCCTTCACGGTTAAAAGGCTGTTTCCAACTAATTGTCTCTGATAAGAACGAGCCTTGCCAAGGTTGTGCAAGGCTGCCAAGAACACTAGATAAAGTTGCCAAGAAATATTCCAAACACAAAGAGTCTCCAAACACCAGCCAAGATAATCCGAACGTCCACAAGGCTTGAGTGCAAAAACTTCTTTGCTTCCTGCAAAGAACTCCGGTTTCTCAGCTGGCTTTTTATCTCTTGAGGGAGGGGCCATTATCTTACAGCCTTACTCCCGAGTTGCCCGTGCTGCTGCAGCTGCTGCTCTTTTATTCGAGCAGCCCTGCGGACACACGCACTGGGCACAGGCTCCTCGGGAACCTCTTCATCACTGCTGCCAGCCTCCACCATCTCCGAAGGCAGCATTCCACTCCCTGACGGTCCTGGCCCCATCCCTGCATCACACGAACGTCCCTCGTCCAAGTCCTCGCTCTCCGAGACCTCAGCTGTCCGTACCTGCTGCCAGAGAAGCACAACAGGCCTAGCCGGGTTTTTTTGGGGGGGGGGGGGGGCAAAAGAAAATAAGACCCAGCCTTCTTTTTGGGAGAAACACGATAGCTACAATAATCCTTGACGTACAACCACAGTTGAGCCGAAGATTTCTGTTGCTAAGTGAGAATTAAAGTTGAGTTTTGCTCCATTTTTACGACTTTCTTGCCCCGTTTCTTAAGTGAATCATGGCAGTTGTTAAAGTAAGTAACACGGCTGTGAAGTGAATCGGGCTTCGCCTTTGACTTTGCTTCTCAGAAAGTCGCAAAGGGGAAATTGCGGGACCCCCCCCCCCCCCGGGACGCTGCAAACCGTCATAAACACGAGTCAGTTGTCAAAGCATCCGAAGGTAAATCACGTGACCCTGGGGAATGCTGCAAAGGTCATAAGTGTGGGAAAATGGTCTTAGGGCCGTTGTAACTTCGGACGGTCACTAAACGAACTGTTGTAATTCGAGGAGTACCTGTGCACGTAATTTACATTCAGAGGCCTGACAACCGGTTCATCTTTATGACGGTCATAGCGTTCTGGGGTCACGACATCCCCTTTTGCGACCTTCTGACAAGCAAAGCCAGAGGGGAAGCCAAATTCCTTTAACAACCATCCTACTAACTCAAGGGCCTTCAAACCTTCAAGCCAGTCCTTGAGTATTGAAGATTTGTCTTTAAATGAATCCAAACTCCAGCTCCTCTTTAGGACAATGATGGTTTATTCAGCAAACAACAAATATTCTAATCAGGCAAGAATGGCTAAAAGCCAGCCAAGGTTAGCGCTGGGTTTGAGTTTGCTCCCTTTCCTTTTATCATCATTATCTTGAGACACACCCCACCACACCCAGGCCTATACTCAGTTCTAGTCCTGGCCACGCCTAACCCATTATCCCTAAATGCTATTAACCCTATAACATGTCTACATCCCTAACCTATTCCGACCCTCACTAGCTGATCCCCACCTGGTGCCACCTTCACCATGTCTTAAGTCAATGCTTAATTACCACCTATATGTGCCCCAACCCCCTCTAACAATATCCACCACAACAATACACGAAAAAAGCCATTTCCAGCCCCGCAGTTGTTTCAGAATCCATCCTGCAGCCCATAGTTGCTTCAGAATCCATCCTGCAGCCCATAGTTGCTTCAGAATCCA